CTCCTTCTTCAGTTGGTCTGGCAGTGCATTCGGCAATGAAGTCAGCCAAAGCCTGTCCCTTGATCGTGGGGCGAGGCTTGAAGTCTATTTCATACTGCCCGATCAGGAGGGACCACTTGGTGATACGCCCATTTGCCATAGGATTTCTCAGTATGGTGGCCAGGGGCTGGGTGGTGTAGATGGTGACTGGGTGTGCCTGGAAATAGGGTGCCAGTCGCTTGATGGTAGCAATCAATGCTAAAATGGTTTTTTCCAGTAGGGTGTACCTGGTTTCTGGCCCGTTCAGGGCTTTGCTCACAAAGTATATAGGGCGCTGAACGCCCTCATCTTCCTTTAATAAAACAGAGCTGACCGCCAGATCAGCCACAGCCAGATACATATAGAGATGTTCCCCTGGGTCTGCTTTAGTTAAGACCAGGGGGGAAGACAGGTACAATTTGAATTCTTCAAAAGCTGCCTGACATTCTGCTGTCCATTCGAACGGGTTGGCCTTTTTCATTATTTGGAAAAATGGAATGGCGCGATCGGCCAGTTTAGCCATAAATCGGCTCAAAGCCGCTAACCTTCCGGTCAACTTCTGAACTTCTTTCAAGTTCCGCGGTGCTTCCATGTCCATGATTGCCTTTACTTTCTCAGGATTAGGCTCAATCCCCCGCTCGCTCATCATATAACCCAAAAATTTGCCCCCCTTGACTGCGAAGGCGCACTTTTTTGGATTCAGTCTCATGTTGGCCTTCTGCATGATCCCGAAGACCCTTTCCATATCCCGGACATGATCCTCCTTCTTCCTGCTCTTGATTAGGATGTCATCTACATATGCCTCCATGGTTACCCCTAGTACCTCTTTGAAGAGTATGCCGATCATTCTTTGAAAAGTGGACATTGCATTCTTCAACCCGAACGGCATGACGATATAGCAGAACACGCCGTCCGAGGTGACGAACGCAGTTTTTTCTGCATCATCTGGGTGCATGAAGACTTGGTGATAACCCCGGAAGGCATCCATAAAGCTCAGCAGTTCACATCCTGCCGTTTCGTCCACCAGCAGGTCTATTCGTGGGACAGGATAGGGGTCCATGGGGCAGGCTTTGTTCAGATCAGAGTAGTCCACACACATTCTCCAAGTAGCTCCTTTTGGAGCAAGGACCACATTAGCCAACCATTCGACATGGATGACTGGTCTAATGTGCCTGATTCTCAGTAAGGTGGCTACCTCCTGCTTTGTGAATTCCCGCCGTTCGGCCGCCTGATATCTCTTCTTCTGTTGGACTGGCCTGGCATCAGGCCGAACGGCCAACTTGTGGCAGATGAGGGCCGGATCAATTCCCGGCATGTCTTCGGGTCCTCGGGCAAATAGGACCTGGAATCTCTTCAGGACAGCGATCACACCCTCCCTGATTCCCCCTTCAAGGTTCACCCCGATCGCAATCTTACGATCGGGAGGGGAATCAAGCTCGATGTATTCTAAGAGGGTGGCTGGCTCGGGGCGTCCCTCGAACTCCGTACGCCGGGTCTGTACCTCAATGCTGTTTACCCGCTGTCCCCGGGTGGTCATTTGTTTCAAAGCTTCCCGGTAGCACGTTCGGGCTATGGCAGGATCTGTTCGAGCCACTCCTACACCAGTGTCAGTTGGGAATTTGATGCATGAGTGTCGAACAGAGGCAATTGCCTCCAAATCTTCTAGCCCCGGACGGCCCAATATGGCGTTGTGGGCACATGCAATATCCACCACCACAAACGTCATCCGGACTGCCGCTCGGTGAATTTCATCACCAATTTCCACCAGAAGCTGGATGGTGCCCTCAGCCTCTATTACATTGCCGGTGAAGCTAGCCAGCGGTGTTTTCAGCTTGGTCAGCTGGTCCTTCTTTAGCTTCATCTTCTCCAACGTGCGTAAATACAGCACGTTCACACTACTTCCCGTGTCCACCAGAACTCGGTGGATCAAGGCGTTGTCTATACACATACTCACCACTAGCTCGTCCCTGTGCGGACTTGGTGAGTTGGGTAAATCAGCCACCCCGAACGTGATTGGCTCTAGGCGGCCCCTCTTTGTGGGAGGTGCAGCTACAGTGGCGACATAGAGGCTGCGCTCAAATTTTTTACGTTCGGCGGCCGTATCCCCGGTCTCTCCCCCGCCAAAGATGACTTTCACCTCCAATCGTGGCTTTTTTCCTGGATTCCCAGACCCCTCAGCCTCCTCTATAGGGGGAAGGTATGAATCATTACTGGGTTCTGCATCTCGCTGGGCATCCCGCTTCCAGCTATTGGATCGGGGAGGGCGCTGATTGGGGGAAGGGCTGTTCAGGTTGGTGCTGACATACTTCCTCAGGTAGCCCTTTTGGATCAGGTCCTCAATTGCCACATGTAGGGCGTGGCAATCCTTCGTGAGGTGCCCATTCCGCTGGTGGTATCTGCAGTAGGAGCTTGGGGTAGGTCCCATCACGGGCCTTGTGTCAGTAGGGGGAGGAATAGCGTTGTGTTCCAAGTGGAAAACACCGGCTATAGACATGACCAGGGGGGTGAAGCGTGTAGTCCTTCGATGAGGTGCTGCAGTCGCTGGTGTGGGTCCCAGACGTTCTGCCAGTCTTGAAGTGGGAGGTTGCGGGGCCGTTCGGTCCCTTATCCTGATCTCTTCTTCCAGGGCCGCATAGTTCCTGGCCCTTTCCAGGATGTCTGGGTAGCTGGTCCCCGGATTTCTCTTCAGCTCCCTGTATAAATCTCCCGTCTGAAGGGCATCGGTGAAAAGAAGGATGGCAGTCTCATCTGTCATGCCGGTCACCTTCAGGGTTTCGGTCCTCCACCTAGTGAGGAATCCGGAGATTGATTCTTTAGGCCCTTGCCTCACACTGGTTAGATACCCGAAATGTAATTTTGGGGTTGTGCTGGAGGCGAACTGAGCCAAGAACAAGGTGGATAGCTCCGCAAAGCTCCCGATCGACCCGGGTTGTAATGTTCCGAACCATTCCTGGGCTGGTCCCCGAAGGGTACTGAAGAACAGCCTGCATATTGCCGCGTCGGTGGCCCCCAATAGCATGAGGCCACCCTGGTAACTCCTCAGGTGTACGTGGGGATCTCCCACCCCATCGTATGCTAAGCCGGTCGAGGGACGGCAGTCCTTCAGGATTTCGGCATTCATGATTTCCCTAGTAAAGGGAGAGGTGATCCCAACCCGTGCTGGCGGGGTTTGTTGGGGCGCCCGGTTGACCTGCTCTCTGAGCTCAGTCATCTGCCTCCTCATTTCGGCCATTTCGTCGTCTTGGGCCGTTCGGGGGGTATGTGGCATCCTAGCATCGACATATTCTGGTATTCTGTTTTGGGGGGGAGCAGCTGTGTTAGCCCTCCTCCGGATGAATCGTTCCCCATCCCTCTGGATATACTGGAAGTGTTGTCCAACGGGATCTACCATGGGGGTAGGTTCCCTATATCCGTTTCGAGGGGCGGACGGGGTTCGACTGGTTGGTGCTCCCCGTCTGGGGGTATGGGCCCTCCAGTGGTTCCTGCGGTGTTCCTCGGAATGAACTGAGGCCATCGTGGTTTCAATGTCCTCCTCTTCGTCGAAAGATGGCATGGGACGCAACGGGGATGGTGGCTCATGAGTTTCATCCGTGTAGCCCTGCTCCTGTTCGTCCGCCATGCGTTGCATGGCCTCCGCCATATCCCTCATCAACTGAGGGTTCATCCTTACATCCCGGGGGATGATTTGCTCGAACTCCCGGGTGGCACTGCCACTGGCGTGTCCTTGCCTGGACCACCCCTCAGAGGATCTATGGCCTCCTCGTCCTCTGGATGCAGAACTCGGTGTAGCGGTATGAAGCCTAGCCATTTCAAAAAATGGTGCTTAGATCAGCTGTTTTCTTTGAACTTTTAGTTTCGATTCCCACAGACGGCGCCAATGTTGAGGTTTATTCCCGAAGATCCGAAAGCCCAACACAAGCCTTGGATATTGTAGGGATATTGGGTAGGGTTGAAATGTATGTAAAATATAAAATAGTGAAATAATATCCAACTCAAGAACTTATTTATATTCTGTAATTAAGCAATTACACTGAAACTACCCGAACGGTAGATGAATATGAGATTACAAGGATGGGAGACGTAAATCTATTGCTAAGCTCTGAGTATTAAAATGCTAACCCTTTACAATGATCTAAACATGGATATTTATACTAAAATGGGGATGGGTAAGGTGGACACGTGGTCGAATCTGGTAGGCTATCACCTCTGCCATGTAAGCACCCATGCCCCCACTTGCTGCCGCCATGATCCAGCATTAAATGCGGCCTCCACTTGCTGATTGCCCGTTCGGTCAAGGTGTTCGGTGTGTGGGATCCCGCCATAGGTGATAATTTCTACCCGAACTATCCCGAACGCCGATCGATATTTAGGCCTTGATACTTTGGCATAATTGTTTCCCAGAATGTCCCAAGTATAAGTTTTATCCCGAATGCCGTTCGGGAGTTCTTTGGGCTTGCTGCTTCTTCCCGGATTTGGGCCTAGGGATATTGGGCCTGGACCCAATATCCCAACAGGCTGCTAGAATTACAATTGCATGTAGAACAAATTAAGAGAGATCTAATTTATTCTAGCACACATTCACACACACTTAATCGTTTGCTAAGAGATTAGTAGCGATTAAAGGGCCGTAAGCTCGCTCGTCTTGGCAATAATTTAGGATCCTGTCGCATGAGAGATCAGCCTGGTCCCCTTAATTATTGTACTCTATGCCGCGAGAACGGTAAGAACTTAGTAATGATTAGCTAGAATCAATTAAGTTAAATTCATGTAATTAAGCCTGATCTGCCAGAAATCTGGTTACTCTGGAATCAATCCTTGTTCCCTTCGTCGTTAATCAAAGAGAAACCAATCTATTATTTTTATCGCTCATTCCCATTAGTTTAATTTTCCAACCCAATCATATCTCGCACGACACATTTATTTTATTTATATTTAATCGCTGATTTAGTTAATTCTTATTTCCCTTTTGTCCGTCCCTGTGGAGACGATACTCGTACTTTTCACCACTTGTCTACAATCTTTTTAAGTACGAGAAAACTCACATCAGACCCCAAATGTCAATCATGGAAGATAACACACGGGTAGAGAGATCAATGATATCATTCTTTGGTTCAATGTACATAAGTTTCATCCCTTTGTTAAGCTCCCTATTGTCTTTGAAAAGAGAAACAAAGCTCGGTTTAGTACCCCATCTTGGTTGCTTAGGTGGTTCTAATGTCGCGGCATTAGACTTGTCAAAAGGGACACGTACTCCATTGGTAGTTTCAACGGTAGGCTCAACATTACCAACATTACCAATATTTTCATTCACATCAATAGTTGTAACTTCATTTGGTTTATCTTCACTATCCTTGGCCTCCTCCTTATCAATAATATCCTTAACAAGTGAGTCAATGATATACTCGGATTCATCCTCAATAAGAACATCATCCACAATGTTTGGTTCTTCATTAACCTCAACAATTGATTCATCATTTGTTTCAACGTTCGGCTCATCAACAACCTCATAAATTGGCTTCTCAATTGTTTCAACATTTGGTTCCTCAACAACCTCAATGTGTTCAAGATCAATAGTAGGAGAGGAAGTTACCTCAACATTAGTAGCTTCATCCTCACGGGTAGGTTCTTTAGTTGGCAAAGTGACGGCTCTATCCGAGCTTCCTTCCTCTAAGGTTTGTGAGTTAGCCTCCTCAAAGTTGGAGCTCACTTCCTCTTCATGGTTCTTTGATGTCATTGGGGGTGTTTGGTAAACGGCGTTTCAGCCGAAAAATGGCGGTTTGACCACTTTGAGCGTTTTCAAGAAGTAAAAAAGATGTTTGGTAAATAGCGGTTCGACAATAGCTTTTTTGGATGAAAACACTTATAATAGGAAAGTTTTGGATTGGCATTTTGAAAAATGTTGTTTTCTACTAATTTTATGGCAAAACAGCTAAATTACCAAACATCTTTTAACAGCCCGCCAATTTATTCCGCTAGCCGCTCACTGAATCTGTTATTCACAACCCGCTATCCGCTAACCGCAGAATGCCAAACACGCCCACTGCCTCATCTTTCTTAGCTTGAACTATTGCCTTAAGCCGTGAGGAGTACTTGGTTGGTGGAGGAGTTTTCTTCTTCTTGTGAGCCATGGTGAAGCAAAGGAAGGGGAAGCTAAGAGGTAGCAACCCCCTCTAGGTGACCATCTTCTTAGCTTTCTTGTTAGAGCTTTTGTTCAGAACAAAGAATATGGCCGTTGGAGATGACCAAAACTCAAAGTTTCTTGATGATGGAAAAAAGTGGATTTACTTGATCCCCACAGCTAGGAGAAGCTAGAAACACCTTCCAATCCAAGTTTGATCAAGTAAATCAAGCTCTAGAGGCGTTGACCTCTTTTGTGAATAGTGATTTCTACGAACTGTTTTTGTGCGTGAGAGTCCAAGGAGTCCAAAAATGAGCTCGAAAATTAGAGATACTACACCTTAAAGGAAGATGAAGGTAGTATAGGTAATATCCAAGCTCAAATCAAGGAATCAATGGAGAGGATGATGAGAAACGAGTGATTTCCGTATGAAGAAGAGCCTAAGTCGCAAATGTCTTAGGGAGAGAAAGCTCTCAACTTCTCCAACGGATATGACTCATTTGTATTAACTTCACAAATGCACTTTATGGCTTTATGTTGCAAGTTGAAACCTCTATTGCTGTGAGTGGGATTTTGAACCTGAAAGTTATAATTCATTGTGTTACTATTTATTTGGAATTATAAAGTTTAAAAATTAACAAAATGAACTTGGAATGTGTTGTTCTTCCACTTGAAAGTAGCAATGATGTGATTGCACTTGAAACTACATTCAAGGCGGCAATCAATGCCACATGTTCCTCCCTCAAAGCATGTGTGTCACCTCAACTCCTCATGTATCGAAACATCATCGAGAGATGGAATGTCAAGATCCGTTACTTGAGGCATTTATCATAGTGGAATAGAGACTTTTCACGATGTTGTAGAAGCTTTTCAACTTCCAACAAGCAATACTCCGCATTTTTTTATTTGCTTCACATTCATCTGCAATTCTGTAAAAAATGGTTATTGTTTTTTAACATTATTAAATTTAAGAAGCTAAGTAATTACAAAATTTACAAATTTGTATATTGTTAAATAATTTAATTTGTCTCTTTGATAAACAATCAATACAATTGTAGATGTGATGTTATAAGAACAAATTATTAAACCTACTTCAATCTATAAAAAAAACTATTTAGAGCCCAATTGATGACCCCTTTTTCGGCTTATCACGCTTATCAGTCAACTTTTTCACCAAACACGTATTTTTTCCCGCGCGCTAAATTGTGTAATAAGCAGAAAAGGTAAGATTGAAGTTACTTTTCTGGTTGTATTGGCTGAAGTTACTGTAGAAGATCATTTTAACTATTTTTCCATATAATTTTTTATTTTATTTATTAATAAAAATATTTCATTAATCAGCAGAATCAACCAATACAGACACTTCAGCCAGAACTTCATAAATTTCAGTAGAATCAGCCAATACAACCAATTTTGGTGTTACCAAACGGGCTCTTAATTTTGGAGTATATTTTTAGAAAGATTTATGATCGAACATTTTTAAAGGAAGTCCATCAGTTTTATACGGAATAATTATTTATGGTATAAGAGTACTCCATCCGTCCTGATAAGTCCATTTTTGTACTTATTTTTCTTATCAAATTTAAGCGATTTTTGAATGAAAATAGAAAGAAAAGACACATTTTATATATTTTGGTTCAAGTTTCATGAAATCAGGTAAAAATCACATCCATAATATGTTTAGCGGGATTTCGGGTCAATTGAGCACAAAATGAGTCAATTTGGGTGACAAATGCATTTATACCGGAAGAAGCAAGCATTTTATCAGAGTGATTCAGAAGACAAAGTTGAAGAGCAGGAAAAGCCGCATCTGCCAGACAAAAGTGGCAGAAGGCGCCCAAATAGGCACCCAAAATGGAGGCCTTCGCGGCCGCCTACGGTATTTTTGGAAAGTCAACCTTTGACTTTGACCGAATTTGGAAAAGACCGTAGGCCGCCGACACTGGACAGAAGGCGGCCGCCTACGGTGGCCGCCTGCGGCACAAGGGGACGAAACCAACCACCGGTCGGCCAGACAGGACGGCAGGCGGCCGCCTGCTGGACGGCACCGGTCCACCGGGATCCGCCGGGATCCGATCTGCCAACGAAAAGACGGCAGGCGGCCATTTTAGACAGAAGGCGGCCGCCCTCTGTGGCCGCCTACGGCTGACGGGGACCGGCCACCGACGGTCTGCCGGCGATAGGACGGCAGGCGGCCAGAGGCTGCCAGAAGGCGGCCGCCTGCCCGGGCGCCTACGGGGATTTTTCTGCTATAAATAGCAGGCGTTTTCTACATCTCAAAACACACCTCTTCCAACCCTAAATCAGTTCAAAACACCTTCTTTCTTCCTCCATTTTCGAGCTCCAAAGGGTTTAGAGAGAGAGAAACTTCAAATCTTCATATCTTCTTCATTTTAGCTCCAAATTGTAAGTTCTTTATATGTATTTTCATCTTCTCAATGTGTAGAATCTGAATCTGTGCTTTGTTTCTTCGATCTGTTCTTCGAAAATTTCCAGATTATTTTTCAAGTATTTCGCATTTCCTTCCAAAAATTAAATAAAATAGTTATTGTTGTTGAATTCATTCCAATTAATTATATAGTTCTTCACTAGCCTCAAGGTAGTTATTTATCTGAAGAAATTAATTTTTCACGAACCAGAAGTAATTTTTAATTAATTTTGGTAATTATTTGATATTAGTTCATAATTTAGAATAAATACTAGAAAAAAAAGAAAAAAATGAGTTCGGCCCTATTTACAGTTTAGTTAACTTAAATATCATTACTAGTAGTTAATATAAAATTTGGTACGAATTTAGAGTATTTTTTATTAATTTCGGTAATCACCTTATATTATTGCTTAAATCAAAATAAATACTAAAAAAGGAAAAAAAAATTAGTTCGGACCTGATTACAGTTTATTCACAGTTATATACCTCCCAGTAGCTAAAATAAAATTTATAACGAAGTTAGCATATCTTTAGTTGCTTTTTGCATTTTCTAGTTAAAATTGGGAAAGTTATCAATTAGTTGTTAAAAATTGGATTTTAGGTTCAAAAATTTGTGAAAAATTCCAGAAAGTTATATTTTAGTTCCTACAAGTTTATTGTGCAATAATATAATTTTTGTTTAATGTTTGGTATCATACATGTTTAATTCCTTGTTAATGTTGAATTTAATCATTATGTTGTTAATTGTAAAAATGATGATGAGTAGCTAAATTTGTTAGGGCATGAATTGAGAAAAGGAATATGGATTGACTTGTTGACCTAAAATTAGGGGGTAAAATTAATAAATTGGACTAGTTGTTTAAAATGATGAAATAGTGATTAATAATAGTTAGCCATGTTCATTAATTAAATTCTTGGAAAATTAATTCTAACTTGTCTATGAGATTAGAAATTAATTTAAGCTGACCATATTTGAGCACATTAATAAGGCCTAGAAATAGGATAATTTAATGAAAAGGATTTACATCTTGTCTATGAGAAATAAATTCAATTGCTAAAATAAAGAGTTTAACTAGTTAATGAATTTGGCTATTTTTATTAGTTAAATTATTGGAAAATTATTTCTACCTTGTCTATGGGTTTAGAAAATAATTTAAGCCAACCATTTTAAACACATTAATGACACCTAGAAATAGGATAAATTAATGAAGATAGTTTCTATTCTTGTCTATGAGGAAAGAAATTATTAGTCCAATTTTAGTTTTAATTTCCCTAATTAAGAGGTCCAAGAACATATCCATTTCTAATTACTCAATTCATTGCCCTTATTTGCATCCTTGAATATTCAATCTTAATACATTAATCTTTAAATTGCCCTTGCTCCTAGTTATAAATTAGCATAATATTGAACAAAATCACTTCCTATATTGAAAAAGCTTCCAACGATTAGCGATAGCCCGTGACTAAAATTAAATTAAGAAACTTCTCCGCCATTCCTCAAGAGACACGACACTCGGGGAAAAACCGAAAGGTTAGACTCCGTTTTACTACAACGCCGTGAAAGCGGTTATCACGTCCCTTACAACTTTGTCATCTTTCCTTTTTGGGACGTCCCAAGTCCCAAAAAACTTTGCCACTTTCCATTTTAATCAATTATTTTGTGCTTCCTGTTGTTTCTCTCTCCTCTGCACAAACCTCAACCACACAGTTTTTACTTTATTATTCTCCGTGCCGGCCAAACTTGACAAAGTTTTAAGGGACAGAGGTAGTATAATTTTACCCTAACATATGTAATTTATTACTACCTCCATCCCCCTAAGATCGGGACAAAGGAGAGTGATGCATTTTTTAGGAAAAGTAGACTTATGTGGTTGATAATGAATTAATAAATTGAGAATAAAGAAAGAATAAATTAGATCCACACAAATATTGCCAAATATGGTATGAGACAAATTTAGTGGGACGGACGGAAAAGGAAAAATGGGACAATTATAGTGGAATGGAGGGAGTAGTCATACAAAGGATCAAATATATTAGAATAATGAATAATGATTTATAAATATAACATATATGAAAAGATAATTGTTGTTTTCACAATATCTTGCTTATTGTACATATGCTGATATGCATCACTCTTATTATTGTACATATGCTGATATGCATCACTCTTATTATTGTCATGTATTAAATTTATCTAAATTTAAGGAATGTAATTAAATATAAGCATACCTTGATCATTGAGATTATTCCTATTAGTAGTGTAAAGTACATCATCACATAGATAGGACCAACACATCTACCAAACCATGTCGGGCATAGACAATGACTCTTGTAACAAAAGATGAACAAAGTAATCCGAAGTTCATGTGTTGTTCCCCGCTGTCTTATTTCTATAAGTCCATCTACATACTCTTTATCGTCATTGAACATACTACGGGCACAACAAGCTTCTTTGAAGGTGGCATGTGTTGTTCTGTCAACTGTCCTCAGTTCTTCAAAACTCCTAGGCCCCTTCACGACACCAAGGATCACCCTCAAATAATATTTCTCCCCGACTCCTAGGCGCGTGAAATATAGTCTCTCAATTGCGGTGCTTCTTTGTAGTGGTACCGACTCTCTTGTTTTGTTTTTCCATGTCAGGTGAACGTGGTAGGAAATTCAGGATAAGTCAAATTTCCCAGTAGTGTATTTCTATAAGTCAACTGTTCTATCAATTGTCCTCATTTCTTCAAAACTCCTAGGCCTCTTCACGACACCAAGGAACACCCTCAAATAATATTTCTCTTAGGCATGTATCGTTCCGTCAACTATCCTCAGTTCTTCAAAACTCCTAGGCCCCTTCACGAGACCAAGGAACACCCTCAATAGTCTTTCTCCCCGACTCCTAGGCGCATGAAATATAGTCTGTTGGAAAAATGTGTGAAAAATTGCATTAAATGGCTATTTTGGGGCAATTTTTTGAGTGGGGTCCACTTCCGATTTGGGTCGGGTCAAAGTGGGTTCGGATTTTCCTTGTTAACGGCTACAATTCGATATATGGTACACTCAAAACGGATAACGGGTGAATGAGAAATCGCTTTTCGAAGTTGACCCGTTAGAATGGAAAAACTGGGAAAAAGGATGGGTTTCTAGCG